GAGAAGCCAGTGAAAGGTCTGAGAGTGATGCCATCTCTTTACCTGAACCAACCACAGAACTTTCACAACTCTCAACCAGTTAAAATTCTTTAAAAATTCTCTAGTGTCTTCACCTTAAATTGCTCCCAAAAGATGGGGGAAAGAAAACAATAAAAAAGAGAGGTATGAAAATTTTAACATTGTGCCTTAAAAACAAAACCAAAACAACCTACAAGTACTGAGTTTTTTTGCTCTTATAACCTGTTAGTTTTCCTGAAAGGGAAAATGACTGAGAACACTTAGAGCACAGACAAGAGATGTTTGTTCCACAATTTTGCCATGGTAAGAACAAGGTATTATCAATGACTATGCATTATAATGGCAAATAACTTACAAAGGCAAATCCTGAGAAGTTATCTCCCAGTCCCATCACATCCCATCCTCCCTTTATTTGAAGACATCTTATTTGGAAAAAAAAGTATTAATTTCAGCTCATACTGTCTCTTAATGATTTTTTTCCCCCTGGAAACAGACTTGAACAGTAGTTGCAAGTAACATGGAAACATTACAAACTGTGCTGGGCAGGGAACTCTCCTGCAACAATCTAACTGCAGAATGCAGAATGGGAAGCACAGAATGATCAAACTGCCAAATTACACTCCTAACATTTAGTTACCACTTCAGGGAGGAGGCATAATCTGTAAGTGCTTTTTTTACCAATCACATAGAGTTTATCTCCTAGACCCGTAAATCATTTACTGTACAGTCAATCCTGCAGTATACTATAGAGAATGCAACCACAGGTCTTCTCTGCAACACAAAACATTAAAGGAAAAGGGGCAGAGCAAACTGTAGAGGAGTGCCTTACAATCCAGTGGCTAAACATATAAATAAACCCAATAGTGGCTGGAAATGCCCAAGAATTGCTGTTACACTCTTAGAGCTCCACAAGCCTATTTGCAGAAGCTGAGTTAACTGGACCTAAGGATTGACTTACCAGGAAAAGAAAAGTAACCAGGGAGAGAGTTCACAGGCCTTTGCCATTAAAAAAGTCCACTTTTTGAAGGTCTACTGTCCACCTTACAATTCAAGCATACAAGTCACAAAGGAAGACGAGCAAGAAGGCCCAAGATCAGCAGCACTCACAGGCATTATGCCCCACAGCACTTCCCTGAAGAGATTCCCTAGAGACTACAGTTCCTATGTGCAGTCTTTGTCTCAAGAGGAGCATTAATTTGTGCTTCCCCACTCTGTTCAGCCACCCCTCCCCATGAAACAAAGGAATTTAATGCCTTTGAAACCTCTATTGTTGTTGACGAACTCAGCTGAGACTGGTCATGTGTAACAGCTGTTCCTGAGAACAGAACTGGCGGAGCAACACGACTTCAAGAACCTGGTGCTTTCTGTGTGGGTATTCATAAAAAAAGGATTAAAAAAGCCCAATGAATGACAGGAAGTGTGAGTTACAAACAGAACATGACAAAGACATTTTGACAAGTGAGCTAGAGATGAAGCAATAGTTAGGACATTGAAGGAAGAGACAAATAAATTAATGAGAAACTAATGCAGATTTTAAATTTTCCTTTAATTAGTTTAAATTGCATTTCTAGATTTTGGGGATTTATTTACTGTCTCCCTTGATTCGAGAATAATCTGACATTTTCTGTTTTCAAACACATACCAACTTTCTGTAGTTAAATCATGAGTGGGATACAACCATAACTGTACCTACCACCCATTACAGTTGCATGACTGGGATTAGGAATTTCATTTAAAACACACTTCAGTTATAACTCTGTGCAATCACAAAAGTGCCAACTTCTTCCATAGCACAGGAAGAACACAGATTGTGATATGAAATCCTCAAAGCATGCAGAAAGGTACACTCAAAAATGGGACAAGAACGTCTTCATCACGAGGAACTGAGCAAAGCAGTTTCCAAAGACAGCCACACAAAAAATTAAGTGAGAAGAGTTCAAGACTGGGGCTGAACAGCATCTCAACGCTCCTCATTTTCATCATCTCATACCAATATAAAATTTAGCCTTAGGCTGAACTCTGGATTCACTATGGACAAGATTTTTGCTTGCCCCTTTCTTTAAGATGAATTAAAAGGTGAAAGACTGTGTGGATGCTATTTGAAACTGTAGGCATAAGCTGCACTGTTCCTCTAAGCATGTGAAACCTTTTGTAAAAGATAAAAATCACTGCCCACATGTACCCAGGGCTGGGTTCACACATGTCACATAAGACCTTAAATGAAGCATACCTGCTTCTCTTTCTCTGAGCTTATGTGAAAGTCTTTAAATCATCCAACAATAGCTATTTCTTCTGGCTTGGACCAATCAGGGAACAACATATTTTTTAAACCAGATGAAGACTAGTCCTTCACCAACAAAACGGACCAAAAAAGTGCTTTTTAATACCACATCATGAAGTTGAATATTCTGAAGAGGGATGTTCACTTTCAGTTCCTATTAATTTCCAAACACCAGGTAGAGCCAACAGATTTCACTGCACTTCAATACCAATGCATTAACCCACCAGCACTGCTATGACTATGCTTTTCTTACTACTTGCTCTAGAAAAAGCCTTGGGAGATAACAGTCTGGTTTACTACTTAATTGTTAAGCATAAATAATTTATTTCCACACTGATAAACTGCTGCAATTAGAGAATGTGTTTTATATACCACCTGAAATATTTATAGAAGATTAATGAAATAAGGAAAAATTAATAACTAGACTACTGGCAAAGTGTAGGAGACTCAAAATTCAAGTGGCAGGAAAATAATAATTTGCAAAAACATACTCTGAAGTTGATAATTATTATACATTTCTAATTTACAAAGAAACACCACTACTACCCTGTGATAACTGAGCTCATTTAAGCAGCTTTCCACAACAACATTCTAAAATTAATTTCACCTAGGAGTCTTTATTTAAAGGGCACTAAACGGTACAAAGTACAATCACACCAAGAAAATATATTCACCTGGTGGCTACAGGAATACTCATATCAACAGACTAGAACTTATCAGCAAGAATAATTCAGAAGTCACTGCTGGACTTTGAATTACAACTGAACACTGATGTAAGTTTGATGAAGCATTGGCAATTCTCACATAAAGCTATGTCAGAAAGAAACTAACAGTTAAAATTCAAAAGTTATGATTAGATTTAACTGTGAAAACAACACAGCAAATCATTCTAGTAATTTTTCAACTCAATAATAATTACTTTAAGAAACACATAAAAATAGCAGTAGTGTTTTGTATTATACATGTGGGAGATCAATAACAAAACCCTACAATACAAATATTTCAGTTCAATGCAGAAAGCACTTACTTATTTACTTTTATAGGTCATGTACTTACATATTCAGGTTTTAATTTCTTGTCTCCTCCTCTTACAGCTACTTTTTCAAGCTTCTCTATGCTCTGCATGATCAGCTCCTCATCCTTAAGTCTAAGTTCTTCATGTATTATTTCAATGTCACGAACAGGATCTACACTTCCTTCAACATGAGTGATATCATCATCTTCAAACGCTCCTAAAACAAAAGAACACTTACATTACCTATTAAGCTAAAAAGACAAGAAATAAATATTTAGAGCATATTATTAAGAGTCAAAAGAGTTTGAGATGAAAAAATCAGTAGGTCTTTCGTACTGCCCACACACAAGTGTCACCTGCAATGTTTTATATCCTGCTGGTTTAGTCTGCTAATTTAAGTACCAACTCTGGAATACAAAGCTCTCTCTATATACATACATACAAAGCACAGCCATTTCAGGAGAGCACTTAATACATCCTTAAGAGTTTATTCTACATAGGAATATGCTAGAGCAGCTTCCTGAAAATAGGTAACAGTGTATTTAACAGTATCTAATCCAGCAATAGCAAAACACAGTAGCTAAATTGAACATTACAGAACATTTCAGTAACACACCCCAATGACGGCAAGATTTATAGAAAGAAAACCTTACAAATCACCCTGGCAGACCTCACTGGCTGACCAATTTTTTGCATTAAGAAAAGAAGAAGTTCTAGACAAAGAATTCTGAAGTTCTGAATGACTCTTAGTGTTTCCAAGGGAAACAGGGCTGAGAAAAAAATAGGCCTGAAATCATCTGGCAGACCTCGTCCCTGTTTCAATCTACTTTATCACTGTGGTTCTGACGGTGATTAGATAATGAACCACTCAGACACACAATTTACACAGCAGCTAATTTCATCGGCCTGATTTGAGGGTATGGTTTTTAGGGGGCCATCAAAGAAGCAGATGAAGGTGCATTTGTCATATATGAGTGACAACCATTCACACTATCTGAACAAAATGGTGCTGGCCCTTATTAGAAACACATGCTATTATCACATATTTAAAGTGCAGTTGAAGCCATAATTTCGAATTGCCAACTGGAAACATAAGGTTAGAACAACCAGATATTACTGAAGCATGTGTGCTGACTTCATGCCCTTCTGATGACAATCTGGCAACATAATTCAACTAGGATTTAAATTATCAGATAAGCAGCATCACCAAAAAAGTCGGCCCACCCCCCAAAAAATCAATACTTATTTCAAAAATAAAATTATCAACGATTAAAAAAAGTTTATTACTTCTTCCTGGATCAATTTGCAGAGTACTTGCATGCCTAGCCTGTTACATTAAAAATATGCTTAAGAAATCAACCATGAAAAGAATGTTATTTTAACCTACCAAAATTTAAATCTACTGATTTTTTTACACAGAAAAAAAAAAAAAATAAATCTCCAAGCCACTTCTTGTACTGAAAAAGACCAGAAACAGCATAAACAACAAAAAATTCCTTAACTGACATACAGAAAGTTGTGGGGGGTCTTTGATGTCATCAACATCTTAAACTTCATCTTTTCTTTTAACATACTGAAAACACTTTAGCAATAAAGATTTCACATCAAAGCACAAAGAACACAGATTTAAAATGTTGGTGATAATCAAGCGCCAAAATCATGTTCACATAAACTTATGGAAAGTCTTTAAAAGAGTGGTTACCAGACCAGAATTTTCCTCCTCTCTCATCAACTATTTCTCTCCAAAGAGCATCAGTGAGCTCCCTTGGTACAAGGAAAATCACCTCAGCAACAGATCCAACTCTGATGCTGGTTGTGAAAGGAGAACAGGCTGCTCTGTCACATGGAAACTTACTACAATAACTCCATACCAATGCCAGGCAGCTAAGGAACAGATACTGTAGCCCTTATCTTCCACAAATCCTTACCTGTGCACCTGACTGAATGGGATATGGGATGTTCAGGTGAACAAATACTAGAAAACAGTGTAACAGCTCTGCTCTGATTTACAAGGAAAAGACTGAATAAGAACAGGGGAAGTAGGAAGATGCCACTACGTAGATCAATGAAAAGTCTACTTGCCCAGCCTTTTCAACAGATGAGCAGCATTTATTATAGAATTATAGAATTTTAGGGGTTGGAATGGACCTTACAGATCATCTAGTCCTAACCCCCTGCCATGGGCAGGGACACCTCCCACCAGAGCAGGTTGCTCAAGGCCTCACCCAGCCTGGCCTTGAGCACTGCCAGGGTTGGGGCATCCACTACCTCCCTGGGTAACCTGTGCCAGTGTCTCACCACACTCACAGGAAAAAATCTTTTCCTAATATCTACCCTAAACTTCCCCTTCTTCAATGTGAACCTGTTACCCCGTGTTCTATCACTGCAATTCCTAACAAAGTGTCCCTCTCTGGCTCCCCTGGAGCCCCTTTAGATACTGATGGGCTGCTATGAGGTCTCCACACAACCTTCTCTTCTCCAGGCTGAACAGCCCCAACTTCCTCAGCCTGTCTTCATAGGGGAGATGCTCCAGTTCTCTTAGCAACTTTGTGGCCTCCTCCGGACTTGCTCAAACAGTTCCATGTTGTTCTTATGTCAAGGGCACCAGAACAGCAGTATTTATGGAGCTAAAAATGTAAGAAGTTTATCCTTCTTCCTTGTATCAAAAAAAGGTGTCTGTTACCATCTACATAATATATTCTCAAGTTGTTTACATCTTCCTTCTGCATTTGGTGTTCATGTGTTTAAAAAAAACCAACAAAAATCCCCAGACTGTTAAAGTCAGGAGAAAAGTTCCATGACTATGAAGATTTTACATTTAGAACATAAAAATAACAAGTAAAGTAAACAGCTTGTTTTGGTCTTAAGGAAGAAAGAAGCTTTTTGAAAAAGTAAGTATAAGGTGAATTAGTAACAACAAAAAAACAGCTTATATGTTCTATTTTTCCATTTTCTTTGACAACAGTAAAATACTTCTCCAGCAATTATCTTAATTTTTTCACACCTTCCCCATTCCTTTTCACAAAAAAAAAATAAAAATCCAGTTCTTTATCCATCCCAAACTAATGAATTTGGTGCATTTTACTTTCACTTAAGTCCACTAAGGGGCTGAACCCACAGAAACTCTAATGTTCTGCCAGAGTTTTCTTCAAGTCTCCTCCTCCGCTCGTGCCTGTGTCTGCAGTCATCCTGCAGCTCATTTAGACAATACCAATGACAAGAGACCCCTGTCTGGCAAGGGGCAGTTGCTGTCTGGCGTAAAAAGCCTCTCTACCAAACTGATTATTTCCCATTCGAGGCAACAATTTAGCCTTCTCTCCTCCTCACTGGGTTGCTTGACTCTTCTCATGGAAGAAATGAACACTAGTTGTACATTTCAGTAAAATCATGAATTTTGAGCTTAATTTTTTAAATACACATTTAGAGAAAAGTGTATTTTGGTAACTTGAAAAGGAGAAAGCCTATCAACATTTGTGCTGACATAGGTCATACATTTCCCTTCTAAATAGATAGGAAATCCATTAAACTAAACATGGCAGGTTTTATCATTTCTTCTTATCAGGAACACTTAGAGAAGTTTAAATCTCTTTCCATTTAGACAGCCACAATCCATAAGGAAGTAATAGGTTAGGAACTGCAGTGATAGGGCAAGGACTAATGGGTTCAAGTTGAAGGAGAGGAAATTTAGGCTAGATAGTAGGAAAAGATTTTTCCGTGAGGGTGGTGAGACACTGACACAGGTTGCCCAGGGAAGCAGTGGCTGCCTCAACCCTGGCAGTGTTCAAAGCCAGGTTGGATGAGGCCTTGAGCAACCTGGTCTGGTAGAAGGTGTTCCTGCCCATGGCAGGGGGTTGGGACTAGATGCTCTGTAAGGTCCATTCCAACCCCTAAAATTCTGTGATTCTACGATTCTAGGTATAAGATTTTCTATACACAAAGACCAAACTATCATTAATGTCCACATCTTGGCACAAAGGAAAGACTCTTCTTGACAAGCAATGGGCATTGAGCTTTATTTGTGAACCTGTTGTTCGGAGTTTGTCAATGCTGACTTCAGCCATCAGCCTAACCCAGATCATCCTCTGACCAGCAGCCTAGCCAGAGGCAAGAAAGTGGGATACTCAAAGAAACAAAGGAGAAGGTAGAGCTACACTGCTATGATGAAAGAACCTTAGTTACAACTTTGCCTCAATATCCATGTGGGATTTATCTTGAACAGTCCCTTAAGCCAGCCTCCAGCCTGCTTTGCAGTGATGGTCTAGCACAAATCACATTAAGCTCTGTTGGGAATTCAGTTCTGGCCTGCAGAGCTGCATGCAGACAGAGCAAGCCAGAACGTGGTAACTTTAGGAATTAGGCTCTGGACAAGAGATGAGATCTCTTGGGAAAAGTACAACTGTGAAAAATCAGCGAAGTTAAACTGTTAGAATAACATTTTACCTAGTCCCTGGTTTAAAAAACGGTTTGTATAAAAATGTCAAGTAGTAGGAAAAAATGGAGTTGTAAAACTGATTCAAGATATAGGACAGAGCAGAAAATCTGTATATTTGCAACTTTCAAAGAAGAAAATGAGAACTATAATATTAATCTACAAATCTTGCCTGAAATAGATTGTTAACAATATATTGCTACTTATTATTCCATCTCTCTGAACTTGATTTATTAGTGAGTGAAATTTCTGTGTCAAGCAATGCCTTTAACTCTCTTTTGTTAGGGAAGACAGTATGACAGCCCAGCCTTCCCTCCAGCACACACAGCAGTGAAACAAAAAGCTCAAAGGCTCTATTTTAATATATAATGGAAGGGGGACAAAGAATGACATCACTGCCCAAATTAAAGATGGTGCGATAGCTGTACAACAAACAAGATGCTCAAGGTGGACACAGGCCATGAACACTGAGTAAGCAGTAGTCTAAGTAGTTTATATCTAGCACTATGCAAAAAGCAGCCTGTTGAAACTAAAAACTGCTAAATTGGAAGAAGCAGAGGAGATGGGAGGTAGGTCTTGAGATGTAAGATGACAGGAAACAAAGGATAATTTAATATTTCTGAAGGAACAGGTAAAACTATCTTGGGTATCAGGCAAAAAAAAACCCAAACCAGTTAATGTGACTTTCTGAAGAAGGAAAATGAAAAATAAGCATTGACAAAGAAATGCTCATATTGGCTGATACTGATCTCTGATTACAACAAAATCAATGAGAAAAATAATGGGGA